TATAGTATACATTCTGGAAACATAAGTACTGTGATATTGGAACTCTTTATATTGCCTCCTTACATGTCACTACTTCTTGTGTTGGTGACCTTTTTCTCAAACAAATAAAGCTACTTAAAAGTTCCTGGATTCCTCCCTAATGAAATTTATGTCAAAAAGAGAGGTTTTTTTCTGATATACAACTTACTGTTTCAAGGAAGTTTGCCAGAATTAAAATAAAATGAAAAAGAACTCCGCAGAGGCGAATACATCCAGTCGGTAGTGACGGATAAAAGGGGTCAGAGACGACCAGGCGGCCACCCGGCAAATGTCCTCGAATGGGGCCCTGGTAGCCCATGCCGCCGTGGTGGCGGCGCTCTAGGTGGAATGGGCTGTGATCCCTGCAGCAGGGGCCTGACCAGACGCCTCATAAGTCATTACAATGGCCTGCCTCAGCCACCTGCCTATGGTGGCCAAAGACACCCTGGCTCTTAAGGACCCAGGCTGAAATGAGATAAAGAGAGCCTCAGATCTGTGCACCCCTGATATTTTCTTGAGGTAGATGCACAGGGCGCGGCTGACATCCAGTCGGTGCCAGAGATGCTCCCTTTTGTGAGAAGGGGCCAGACAGAAATTAAGTAAAATGATTTCTTGGGACCTGTGGAATGGAGTGTTTACTTTTGGAAGAAAAGTAGGGTCCAGATGAAGGACCACCCTATCCTGATGGAATTGGCAAAGATCGTCCCTGGATGATAGGGCGCCCAGTTCCAAAATGTGCCTGGCCGACATAACTGCAACTAGGAAGGCCACCTTGAGGAATAGTAATCTAAGGTGGACTGTTCAAATGGCGCTCCCGTCAGGGCCCTTAGGACAAGGGGCAGATCCCAAGTGGGAAATCTATGTATTGGGGGAGGCCTGAGGTTAGCCGCCCCCTTTAGGAATTGCTTAATCAGGGGGAAGTGAGAGAGAGTGGAGTTACCCTCCCCCCCCCCGAGGACAGAGGACAATGCAGCCACCTGGTGACGTAGGGTGTTTTATGGGAGAGGCCTCCATCTAACCCCTTCTGCAGGAACTCGAGAATCTGGGCCAAAGAGGCTTCGGTTGGGCAGATACCTAGCGGAGCACACCACTTGACAAACACTGACCATGTGTAGATATGAGTGGTCGACAGGTGCCTCGAGACCTCGATGATTGCTATGACCTTGGATGACAGGTTAGCATTCCTCAGGAGATGCTGCTCAAGTGCCAGGTGGTCAAGTGGAGCCACTGGGGCTCCGGGTGGATCAGGACCCCCTGGCACAAGCTCCTCCGGAGGAATCCTCCATGGAGGGGAGACTGATAGTTGGACAAGGTCCGCAAACCAGGACTGTCTGGGCCAATAGGGGGGCAGCATGATGACGTCGCCCTCTCTGTCACTACGTTACTGAGGGTCCCCGGGATGAGGGGTATAGGGGGGAAGGCATAAAGGAGGCCCGACGGCCATCTGCTCCTGAGGGCGTCTGTGTTCTCCGCGGTTCGGGTCTGGAAGCGGGAGAAGAATCTTGAGTTCACTGAAGTAGCAAAAAAGTCCACTTGTGGGGTGCCAAACTGCCAGCAGATCTCCTGGAACAACTTGGGCAGGAGTTGCCACTTGCCATTGTCGAGGGTTGCTCAGCTCAGCCAGTCAGCCTGATGAT